TTGGTATTAAATTTAATAAAATTGAAATGCTTTCTTATATAATCCGTTGTAGAAAAAACTTATGAGGCCAAATTACTCTATTTTTTGTACATTACAAATATTCCAAGTAAAATTACTTTGTATTGGTTCATTCAAAAATTTACTTTATATTTGTACGCAACAATAATATGATTGTATTGTTTGTTGTCTTATATACTTTGTTGAACAAGAGACATATGAGGCCAGGTTACTCTGAATTTGTTCATTTTTGCCAAACTTTTCATTTTTGCCAAACTTCATTTTTTCCAAACTGTTCATCTACTTTTTTATGACATTACTGCATATATGATCTCTATTTCATTTTTGAGCATTTGCCAAACTGTTCATTACTGCATATTTATAACATTTAACCTGGCCTCCTAAAAAAACTCAAAAGACCAATGCTCACAGTGAAGGTATATATGATCTCTATTTCTACTTTTTTATGACATTACTGCATATATGAGTTCAATGAATTAATTCTCTGTTTCTTTAATTTTCAAGCGCATATAACGCTACTTGATAACAACATTATGTTGTTATCTACGGATAAAATGAGTCGATTTTAGCAAGTATTCTCATGGATTTTTTTCGGCAAAATTTGATATTGATACAGCCTGTTCAAAGGTCTTATTCTCCTAGGTGTTTTTTCATAGAGTTTTAGAATTTTGCATGCATACATCAAATGCTGATACTTACCACTTTATCAACAAATGACACATTTCAGCTTATTGCATTATATTTTTTTATATCCTTCATTCCTTCATATGTTTCACCGTTATTCAGCCTAAGAAAAATGGAATGCAGGTATGCTCCAGTTCTTTATTTAATACTCCATTTACATTCGCCCCTCCGTTAACTTTTTAATGTACTATCACAAATGTCAATTTGGTTAAAGTAGGAGACTTTTCTATGCTCTTTAGATGTTGGTTTAATGATTTTTATCCAAACCACAATGTAGGCTTTGATGTGTGTGATGTGATAATATTTATTCTTGCCTTTATAAATCTTTCTATCCTATATGATTCATAATTGGTTTTCAATTGCTCATGAGATCAATGTCTTGCTCCCATCTATAATGGTTTCCCATTTATATGTTCTTTTTTAGATCTCGCATTGTCATTTGGATTTTTTGTCACTTCTAGGTCATACTTATGGACTTGGCATTCATTTGTACCTCTACTTTTGTTTTAGTTACCTCTTTAGTTTTTTTTATTTCTTGATATGAGATTTTTTACGATTTAATCAAAATTTTTGGCCGTGAATAATTAGCTGCATTCTTTTATTATTTCAGGTAAATTTTAGAGGTCATACAAGCTTATTTTATGCTGAAAGTAGCTTCAAATTTTATATAGGATACCTTGGCTCTGATTTTTGTATTTTAACAAAATTGCAGATAGGATGATTCAAGACACGATACACCAGAGAAGAAAATAGATAGGAAGAGGTCAAAGAAGATAAAAGACATGGTGAGATAGCTTTGGTTGTTATTGTTTTTTATTCCTCCCCAAGTAACATGTTTTGCTCTCGAGTACAGTTGGTTGTGATGAATGGCCTTCAAAGAACAATAAGCTTGCGTTTCAGAAGTCCTTACAAAAACTCTAAAGACTAATGCTCACAATGAAGGCATATATCATCTCTGTTTCTATTTTTTATGACATTACTGCATATATGAGTTCAATGAATTAATTCACTATTTCTTTAATCTTCAAGCGGATATAACGTTACTTGATAACAATACTCATTCTGCTCTCATCTATGGATAAAATGAGCCGATTTTAGCAAGTGTTCTCCAAGGTTTTTTTGGCAAAGTTTTATATTGATGCTGCCTGTTCAAAAGGTCTTATTCTCCTAGGTGTTTTTCGTAGAGTTTTTAAATTTTTCATGTTTATGCCAAATGTTAGTACTTCGTACTTACCACTTTATCAACAAATGGCAAATTTCAGCATATTGCATTATATTTTTTATATCCTACATTCCTATATGCGGGTATACTCCAGTTCTTTATTTAATACTCAATTTACATTCCCCCCCTCTGTTAACCTTTTTAATTTACTGTCACAAACGTCAATTTGGTTAGAGTAGGAGACGTTTCCATACTCTTTAGATGTTGGTTTAATGAATTATAATCCAAACCACTATGTAGACTTTAATGTGTCCGTGTGATACTATTTTTTCTTGCCTTTATAAATCTTTCTATCCTAAATGATTCATAATTGGTTTTTAATTGCTTATGAGATCAATGTCTTGCTCCCATCCGTAATGGTTTCCCATTTATAAATTCCTTTATTTTTAGATCTGGCATTATCATTTGGATTTTTTGTCACCTCTAGGTCATACTTATGGCATTCATTTGGCATTCATTTGTACCTCTACTTTTGTTTTTAATTATATCTTTCGATTCTTTATTTCTTGATATGAGATTTTTTATGATTTAATCAAGACTTTATGCCGTAAACAGTTAGCTGTATTCCTTTATTATTTGAGGTAAATTTTAGAGGTAACATACAAACTTAATTTTTATGTTGAATGAAGTTTCAAATTTTTGATAGGATACTCTGGCTCTGATGTTTGCATTTTAACAAAATTGCAGACGAGATGATTCAGGACACTATACATCAGAGAAGAAAATAGATAGGAGTAGGCCAAAGAAGATAAAGGACATGGTGAGATAGCTTTGGTTGTTATTGTTTTTGGTTCATCACCAAGTAACATGTGTTGCTCTCGAGTACGGTTGTGATAAATGGCCTTCAAACAGCAATAAGCTTGCGTTTCAGAAGTCCTTTATTTACAAAAACTTAAAAAACCAATGCTCAAAATGAAGGTATATATCATCTCTATTTCTACTTTCTATGACATTACTGCATATATGAGCTCAATGAATTAATTCTCTGTTTCTTTAATCTTCAATTCAAGCAAATATAAACTTACTTAATATCAATATTCATTGTGTTGTCATCGACGGATAAAATGAGCTGATTTTAGCAAGTGTTATCCAAGTTCTTTTTTTTTGGTGAATTGAAGGGTCCATATTGTTTACCTTTCTGCTATACTTCGTAAAGTAGAACAATTGATTCTTATCTTGCTCCACTTGAGTAGAATTCTTAGCTAAAGACCTTCCTTTCTTAAGTGTGGAGTATATGTATAAATTTTGAAGTATATTTTTAAGGCAAACTTTGATATTTACATATAATAATTGTATGTTATGTGATATATCTTCTCTTCATTTATTTAGTTTTTAAGACTACAAATTTTGTATGGTTCTTATTTTTAGAATTGTATTTGTTTTAATGGAAAATTTTATATTTTAATTACAATATACTATTTCTACTCACCTATGACTATACTCATGTCTTTACTAATTCTTCACACACCAAATATTTTGTATCCATAAAATCATAGCACTATGTTCATATTTCACATGGACTTCTAATTAGTATTGATTCTAGATCGATGTCTGAAGGTCATTTTACTTGCTTCTTTCACTAATGCATCAAATCCACTGTGTAATGCTTTCCAACAAACTTTGCAAAGAGCTTTATTGCCATTATGTTTGCTCATACGTGTCAAGCTCATTGGTATGTATTATTCATTTTGGTTAATATAATATGCTTCATCAAAACTTGATTAATTTATCCCTATAAATGTTGTAATTTGATATTTTTATTATGATTAGATCGTAAAAGCTCTCACTACTCAAATGTGTATTAAAAGCATGTTCATTGAGTGCTTGGACTTGCATGGAAAGTCAGATTTGAAATATGCTCTAAGTTGTAACCTTTTTTAAATGCCTTGACAAGAATGAAGGATACTATCTCATAAGCATATATAGGCAATTTTCAATGCTACACTTTATTAGTTGGCATCAGCCAGGATAAATAGGTATTATTATTAATAATACCATTTTAATGATATCTATTATTTACTAAGGAGTGTTACACTGTTACACACACACCAACAATTTAACTCAATTGAATTTTATAAAAGTAGGGTCTAGGGGGTGGGTACGCAGACCCTACCCTGGTTACAAGTAGAGATGTTGTTTTCAAAGACACTCTCATCTCATGATCTAGATGAGCGTGAAAAGTTGTCTTGACTAATTGCTATTTCACTGTTTGATGAAGTGCAGACAATCTAAATAGCAAATTTGTTTTATTCCATTTTCCTCTCACATAATTTGAATTGTTTTTTGACTCTTCATACAAACAACCCTTTCATAACCTTTTCCCATCTTCTTGGGTTGGTTGATTTTTTTATACTTGAGTTTTTGGTAGCCTTGCAATTGTTAGTTTGTTAATAATGTAGAATAATACTAACTAGATTAGTGTGCAGAAAAAGTTCACAAAAGTGATATTTTTATTTTTTTCCCTTTTTGTTTATTTTTTATTTCAAACAAAATAATATTGTAATTTTTAAAACATTATTTAAAAGGTTTAAAAAATAAATATAAAAAACCCTTTAAAAAAGAAACAAAGAAGTAAAAAATGAGATAAAAAGGGGAAAACCAAAAAATGGAAAAAAGAAAATGAGTTCTATTACCCCATATGATTTGGAAAATAGACACCAGTACCCCTTCACCGAAAAACAATCAGAAAATCGTCGAGAAATGATCAAAGGGTGTGTGTACATTGTTTGAAACCATTTGAATTTTATAAATAAATTTTGAAAACAAACAAGACATTAGTGCTCTTTTCTCAAACTAAAAGACTTAGCGTGCTTCGAAATACAAGCTTCTATCAAGTCGACATGCCAAGACTTTGTTGTGCACACTTAAAATTTTTCAATATTGTTTACTTTACTTTGACGTTAATGTCAATCATGTAATGTTAAAAAATCATGTTAGAAATATCACTTTTTTAATCTGGAAAAATATTAAATAAAAAACCAAATTTTGAATCAACAAAAAATTTCGTTTGACCCGTGCATGGCACGGGTCAAAATACTAGTATATATATATATAAAGTAGAGCGGTTTAACAGACGTTGTGACATTTGGCAGTCCATGTGTGCATTACAGTTGGACCAATTTGCTTAGTCATCCTGCCACGTATCTCAATCTATAATCGCATTAGGTCTCAGCCTCTGGGAGGGGAAGCGCTCAAGATCTACGAAGCTGAACTGAAGCGCTCCGACATCTCTACGAAGCTGCTAGCAAAATTTTCGAAAAACCCTAAGATTCCAGACGATTGGAGATGATGAAGGACTACCACTCTTTTCGATGCCGCACCACGACCGCCATGTTCAGCGTTCAATCTTCTTCTCCATCTTTCGTTTTGTTTAACGCTAAGAGAGTCAGGAGATGTATGCCCTTTCTTCTTCTTCGAGACTACAAAGCTATGCGTTTCAGACGCTCTTCTTCTTCTACAGTTGTACTTGCTCTCTTCCCTCTCACTCAATTTTCAATCGGCAGAGCAAACAAAAGGTGGGTGGCTCTTTTCTCAATTCATTCTTGATTTTCTTCAATTCCTTTTTTTGTTTCTTTCATATGGGTATGGTGATCAAATACATTTTTGTTAATCTCTTTGGTCAATCTGCTTTCTTTTTATTTTTTTTACCTAATTTGCTGCATATATAGATCTGCCAATTTTTCTTCAATTGACATTTAGTTGTTTGTTTTCCGACTGCTACGTTTAAGTTAAATTTGTCACATATTTCATATTCGTATTTTTATAGATTTTTTCTACATTACTTTGATTGTGAAAATACTGATGTTGAGCATGCTCACAAGTTGTTTGCTAAATTTAATCATGTAGTATATTTGGTGGAGAATACCTGCCATACAAAGTACACATAGCAGATATGGGTTCTCTCATTCAATGGGTTTTTCTACTATGAAGAACTAATCCATTTATTTGATTCTGGTCTGCCTTTCTTAGCTTTTTTTTAATAGTTATGGAAAAGTTTTAAAATATAGAGTAAGAAGTTAAATTTCCAATGCAACAGAAGGGAGAAAATAAAATTTACACACTTTGAGTTCATCACATGTGTATGAGTTTATCTACAACTCAGTAAAATGACTCTTCTGTGTGGAAAAGAAGCATAATATAATCATGCGTAAGTGTTAGTTCATTGCAATGAAAGCTCAAACATGCAATATGAAGCATATTGATCTTATACATTATCAGTTTTGTTAGTGGCATCAATAAGTGGACAGGGAGGCATGTCGTGTACGACTTTGGAAGTTCCCCCCGTTTATAATTTCATGTGATGCTTTGATCTTATGAAAATTTATATTTTTTTTGTTTGGAGTGTGATTTATGTCTATTTTTTAAATTTTTTCGGGCTAAAGGCCGAAGTTGAACAGTAGGTTTGTCGTCGTGAAACAGTCTGCACTCAATTTCTTAAGTATGAGTTCATAGATTAATTTTTTAATGAATGAATTTGAGTTTAGTGTTTTTAATTTCCTTTTAAATGGTTGATATAAAATCATTTACTCTAATTTTTATCGGTTGAGTATTTTGCAGGTCTACAACCTTGCACTACCCACCTTAATGCTACTGTGAGCACATCTTTTGGACAACACTTCCTCAGCATTAATAGTATTAGATAACATACTTCAAAATTTACAAATCATTTGGAAAATCCTAAACCCCTCATTGATTAAAGGTTGTGTTGCACTCTCATTCAAGTGTCACAATGCTAGCCCATCCATAATTCTTTTTTCATACTCGAGTTCTATATTTAGTACTCCCCTTCATTTCCCCCTAAATGAAGTATGTTGTAATGCAAAAGAACTATTTTGTATAGGCCAATGAAGTTTGTTACTGCGTTGAACATGACGCTCTTTGGATGTAGGCTTTATCTGACCTACCACTGTGAATGCGGACTTTGGTGGTCTTAAGGTAAAATAATATGTTTTTATGTTTTAATGATAACCATGTGTTTGGACTCTATATGGTCGTTGGTTTGCTTTTGTCAATGTACTAATTTATTGGCTATACTTGAGTAAAAGATTTGTGTTCTAAATTTGGCCTTCCGTTGCTAAATTCAAATTCATTGGTCACTTCCTATTCTCTTACTACCTCCATTCCTGCTTTACTAAACACTCTTTTCCTTCAATCTTTCACCTTCCTCACAGAATTTGTTTTGTATGGACGGCTCATTAAAGAACAGAAGAAGTGCATTCAATAACACCTTTCATGATTTAATGAACTCTTATTTATTTGTGGAGCTAGCCACTTCTTTTCCCACCTTCCGGTCCAGGTATTCTCCCTCTTCCATTATTTCTTCAACTCTATTTATATCACCTTGGAGAGCTTCAAGTCTATTGTAGGAGTAGGGAGTGTTATATAGTATTATTAAAAAAATGAGGAATTTACTTAAATAACACTAAAACATAATGACTTTCTCTAAATAGCACCACATGTATTTTTCTTCCCAATGTAGCACTTTTAGTCATTATGCATTAGTCATTATTTAAGTAAATATTTGTTATCACTGGACATTATGGATATTATTAAGTGCTATTTAGGGAATAAAACAGTTTAAGTGCTATTTAGAGAAATGACTTAAGTTTTAGTGCTATTTAGTGCAAATATTTCTAAAAAAATTGGTTAAAAATTCAATCCTAGCCAAAAACACTCTTGGACTGAATAATGTATTAAAAATAAATGCAATAACAAGTCAATGAGTGTATGAGGTTTATCAATTAACCACTGGATATATGTAGACAATATATTTGGTGTACTCTATAAATTACTATTTCTCATTCCACGCAAAGCCCAAGTAAACGTCAGCTAATGCATGTGCTAATATAACTTAACCATGAATAAAAAATCATCTATAGGTTAAATATCTAGGAAACAGGCGGTAACTTAGGATTCATTGATTTGAATTAGTATTATTTTTAAATTTCATTGCAATTAGAGCATGATATATTTTCACTTCATGATTGCCTGGGGAAAAAACATTGGTGGCTGCACTAACAACAACCCAGTATTCAACTCAATTTTCCTTGGTGTATATGCACTTTGGTCTTCTACTTTATGATAGTTAAAGGTAAACAGGTAAGGTGTAAATAGGTAAAAAGGTAACATGATGTAACATTTCACATGTCGTAAACAGGTAAGGCTTAAAGAAACCGAGACTAATTAGCAAATTGATCTTTAGTTTCAGTGATAATACCTCCATTTAGTTATTTATGTCATGTGGATTGAGGATTACTTCTTGATGGCTGAGATTTTTATAATTTTTTTAGATTTATTCTCATATGAAGAGGTGATACACTTAACATTTCTTGGGTTTTATATCATTATCATTGAGGGCAAGGCTAATTTACTCTTTGGTTTGCCTTATTGCAGCTACATGAATATGTGGGATCACCTGTTGGTGTTAACTGTTAAGGGACCTGAAACCTTTTTTAGCATTGTCCCTCTTAATTTGGAATTTCAGAATTCACCAGAGGCCAATTTGTGGTTTTTTCATATCTAAAACATTGCATTGTTGGGGCTCATTTACGGTACTTTACCAAGATAATTATGTCCATTACTAGAACTACGAAGCAGAGGCATGCCACGGTATGACTGTACTATCAAATGTCTCATTTCTACCGTCTTTACCCCCATTTTTGTTCCCTTTTCTGTTGGCAGGTCAATTATTCTGTACTTTTTTAACAAATAGAGGAACAAGGGAACTCTCCGAGAGGACTACTCATGGAATTTGTATACTCTTTATGGTAACTATTGCCATCATTTCGCACTTACCCTATACAAACTACTCACAATTTCAGGGATTTGGAGAAGACACTAAGGAGAGTATTGCATGATGAAGACCATGATATTCATGGTATAAACCCAGTTTAAAAATTCCCATTGAATAGCACTAAAATAGTTTAGAGAGTATCTTTATTTTCTTTAAAAGATGTCGATATAAGGTATATGATCATTACCAAAGGTGTTAAATAGCTATGACAATTAACATTTGTCAATAGTGACACTACTATTTTTAAATTTTGTAACCACAATGCCTTTAAATATACGACATAGATTCTATTTGCATTTTATAGGCCCATATTTTGAATGTTGAAAATTATATCCTTCCTCATTTAGATAATAAAGTTGAATTTAACATGACAAGTTCTATCTTGGGGGTAGTATGTAGTAGAAACTTTGGTAAACCTATCTACTACCACAATACAAACAGTTGTATGTACTAATTTCATTTCAGTGTATTTATCCAGTTTAATTATTTTAATTACTCTCCATTTGTATTGCATATTAGTATAATGAAATAAAATTTTAAAAATTCTCAACAAGATAAATCATATAAAGCCATTTTTATACAATTATACATTACATTTTTATTTAACTAAAATTGAAACTTTATCCAGTTTCAAAGAGATAGTAGGCTATTTCATATTTTCTCTCATTTAGATTAATATTTCATTTTATTTGGTATTAAAGAGATATCCACAAAAACTCATTTACAAGCAACAAATACGTGCACAATTACCCCAGCCCGTGCGAAGCACGGGGTAGAACACTAGTAATATTAAATTTTTAGTCATACATTCATTATTCATATAATCATGTTATCATATATTACTATTTACTATTTTACTAATATATTATATTATTAATTTGTTATAAATTAATATTATAATTTTGATATTCAATATATAATTAATATTTTAAATATTTAATATAGTTTTTTTTATCAAAATAAAAATATATTAAAATGTCGAGAGAGTCTGGTAGAAGCTCTGTGGATATGGGCGTTGTGAATCGAAGTTCGAGGAAAGGCAAAGCTAAAGCCACCTTCGACAGTTTGAGCTCACGTGGTTCTCAAGGAAGACACTTCGTCTCTTCCTTCTCTACTATCCCTGATCAATTCGTGGGCGATGACAGTTGTAGTTTTTCGGGTAGTAAACCTTCCCAATAAAGGGTTAGTTTTCTCTCCGAGTGTCGTATCTCTTGAGGAGTAGACGAAGGGAATTAGTTTAATTACTCTAACTAGGTGAAGATTAGGATTGGTTTATAAAAGTCTTCTCGGAAGGATAATAAAAGGAGCAGAGTAAAAATAATAAATCAAGTCTACATAGTATAAGTGTAGATCTGGACCTAGGGTCAGGACATCATCTGGATCTATTTTATCATATTAAATTAACGATTGGAATAATAATATTTCTATTACTACTCATCCATTTCTAGATTTGTACTTAATCTGTTGCACTTGAATATCATAGCCATTTTGGCATACAATATCTTCTCAATAAATAGCTAATTAAATCTTTCGAGAATAATTAACTAAATAAGGCAAGAACAATAGATTAACCATTCCAACATTAATTTAACATAAAAAAATAAACAACCAAACTAGTCCGGACCCAGAGATCCGGACCCTAACTTATACTATGCAAACATAAATTAAAATAACATTTTATTAAATAAAGAAAACTTACAACCTCCGTAAAAGCGGAACAGAACAGATCTGGAGTCAAAACCTCCGAAAATACTTCAAACTAACTACTAAAACTAATATACAAGCTAAAATGGAGACGGGATGTGTAAATCCCGAAGTTGGGATGGAATGGGATGGTAAAAATGAGAAGAATGTGCTGTATTTATAGGAACGAATCCAAGGCGTCCAAGTCCAAGCGTCTAAGTCCAAGCGTCTAGATCTGGACGCCTGAGTTGTCCCGGCCAACCAGATTTTGCCACGTGTCATTCTTGGGCTGCAATTAAGCCAAAGCGTCCAACTCCCAAGCATCCAAGTTGGACGCCTTGAGGCCTTGGTCCGTTGGGCTTCGCGGCTTTTTCGTGATTTTGGCCCAATTTCGCTCCGTTTTGGTCCCGAACACTGTTTTTGACCTCCCGGAAGCTCGTTCAAGCCCGAATCTTGATCCCTTGATAATTTATTCCCTTTTTCTCAAGTATTTGAACATAAAATGGATGATTTATGATAATTTCATGTGGAATCCCTTTTCATGCCTCTTAGAACGAAAATGAGAGTTTTATTCATTGAAAACACATTTTATGAGATGATTAAATACTATTTACGTGCAATAACGTTTAGAATATGATGTAAATGATAAGAACGAAATGGACTTATCAAATTCCTCACACTTAAACGTTGCTTGCCCTCAAGCAACAAATTGAATAATTGCAAGTATAAAGGCAAATTAATAATTGCAGAGGGAAGGTTTAAGCTACATATTATGAAGGAAAAAAGAAATAAGATAGTCATCAACCTTTTTGTTAAGAAGAAATGAACCTTTAGATTCTCACCCATATTGTTAGAAATGTAAAAGAATTTTGTCAAATCAATATTTTTACACCAACCTAAACAACCATAATTTTCCAAACTTTCTTTGGGATAACTAAATTTGTAAGAGTACTTTAAAGATCAAATAATTTTTTTAATGACTAAATTGGAAAACATGTTCTTGCAAAAGTATTTGTCAAAGTGTAAGGGTTTAATTTTCTTGGGCATAACTTTGTCATGTTGACACGAGAAAAATTATAACCTCATCCCGTGACATGGAACCACGAGCTTTTTGGATATTCACTCTAGAAAGTCTCATCACACGACATAGAACCGCATGCTTTTTGACTCTAACACTCAAAAGGCCTCATCACGTAATATAGAACCACGTGCTTTTCGGCATACTCACCACGCCTCATCAGTTGACCTAGAACTAACTGCTTTTTGGCTAAAACATCTCGGTCTCACCAAAGTATGCTTTGAAACATCACCCCTTATACTTTGAAAATAACTCTTTTTAAGAAACAACAAATACTCATAAGAGCATCAACAAAAAGATTTTCAATAAAGCACTTAAAAATTAGTTGATCTAAAAAAACTCTTAATAAATTGTGAATTTATCCCAAATCATTTTAGAAAACATTCCCAAAAGGTTAGAGTAAAAATAAAAGTTTGACAAAAATTTTAAAAATTTCCAATTTCCACGGGTGATAACTAAAGAGTAATTAATCAAACAAATAAAATTGATGACTATTTTATAAAATCTTTTCCTAACAATACATAGATAAAACAATTCCTAAAAAAGATCATTTCAACCAGGAACTCTTACCTCCTCACACTTAAACGGAACCACGCCCTCGTGGCTAAAAGTATTTTGGAATTGGAGTTAATGGGTTAAATTTTTCCATCATCTCTGATGGAGCCAAAATTTCACCATTTTTTGGCTTTGGGGTGTGATGGAATAAATCAAAATAGATCTCTAAACTGTCTGCGCTTCTTTAATTAATGAAGTAGCAGTTAGTCAAGCAATGCAACTTTCGACGTTGAGCCGGGGGTCTCTTTGGAAACAGCCTCTCTACTTTCGAGTAGGGGCAAGGTCTGCGTACACACACCCTCCCCAGACCCTCCTACTCTTGTGGGATTTAACTGGGTTGTTGTTGTTGTTGGGTTAAATGCTCACATGCAATTACTAAGTTATCTCAATACTTACAAAATTCAACCATGAAGATTGAAATAATAGATAATCATAACATGTAAAAAGGAAATAATGCATAAAATATTCTCAAAATGGTTTTTAGAGTCATGTTGTGAAATTCCAGAATAAAAATCATCAAGCATCCAAATTGTGTTTAAAATAGTAGAGAAAAAGAGACTTTACTGAGGAAGTCAATATTCTCTCAGTAGCCAACTTCAACCAGGACTGTTGGATCAAGAAGCCTCGAAGGTTGCAGAAACCTTGTGTTTTCCCCAGGTGAGACCTCTTCTTCGCTCCCACTGTAAGGTATGCCCTACAATTCTCTCATCTGCAAAAGCAAAGACAACAAACAAAATAACTCTTGCCCCCAAAACTGATGCGGCAAGCATAACCTCAAAAACTAACAAATAAAACTATTGAATTTATTTAATTATTTTAGTTATTTGAATGACGGGTTGCCTCCCATTAAGCGCTTCTTTAATGTCCGTAGCTCGACGCTCACCCACTTTTTCCGCGACTTCCCGATCCGAGAGTCATAAAGTTTGGCCCTTCTGACTCTCTTCTGGTGCCACCTTGTTTGATTTGTTGCTCAGACAAGGTCCAGGATCCTTGACTCATCCCTGTGGCTTGGTGGCAACAGGATATATGGAGGAGACTTTGTATAGGTGGGTGGTGGCAGAAGTCTCCTCAGTAGATCCACATCATTAGGTGAAACGGACTTATCAAGCGACACAATGACGGATCAAGAATTCGAAACGTATTTGGGAGGTAGAACCGACACCAACCTTCAAACTCTTGAAGATATATTCGAGGACATTGATGAAGCAGAAATGTGCGTGGAGCTTACACAGCAGAGCAACAATCCTACCAAGGCCGACGAGGAGGCAGGTAAGCCCGAGACCTCTCAAGGTCCGAGGAAAGGTAAAAAAAATTAAAATCAGATTTATTTGTTTATCATTTTTCAAAAGAAACAAAAAATGACAAAGTTTTTGGAACTTGTAATTATTGTGGCACCGTCATTAAAATGGGAATTCCTGGGGGTTATGGTGGTCCGGAAAAATACCTAAGGGCGAGGCACTTCGTAGAGTACGCCAAATACGCGGCAAAAAAGAAGGGACGATAAGAAGTCCAAACCCAAATATCTCGGTTAGCTAATAGGGGTAAGAGCGGCCTTTTTGCTTATAGCGACGAGCAAAATAAGAAAAAAATGGCCGAAATGATTAGTGAAGAAAATTTGTTATACTTGTTTTAAAAAAAAACTTGGATTTATTGATTATTTTCAAAATGCATTAAACCAACCAAGAGGTTTTTCAAGAAAAAAAGTTAAACGAGAAATTATTCGACAATATAAACTTGAAAAAATGAATTTGGCAAATTTTTTTCTCAATTTTAATTCTCGTGTTACTATTTGTTCTGATATTTGGAGTGAAACAAGTCATAATTTGTCTTATGTGGGTGTTACTTGTCATTGGATCGATAGTGATTGGATTATGCATAAACGTGTTCTTGCATTTCGTGATTCCAATGAATCTCTAAGAATACAATTTAGTTAATAAAGTGTTTGCATTTGGATTTGATAATGCTACTAATAATACTGCTGCTATTCTTAGACTTAAAAAAATTTGCACCCTACTACGAGTATGGGTAGATTTCTGCATCAAAGGTGTGCTTGTCATGTTTTAAATTTATGTATTCAACTGGGATTAGAAGCTATGGGGGAGGGGGGGTTTGACGAATATTATAAATGGAATTAAAAAGATTTGGGGTGGTCGTATTTATACCAAATCCTGAAAGTCATTCTGTAAATCTAGGGATAGAAGACCAATAACATTTGCTAAATATATCACTATTAGATGGAATAGTACATACAAGTTGATAGCACAGATTCTAAGCTACAAAGAGGAACTTGCTACATTTCTTAGGAATGAACTTAGTTTTATGATTTTATTGAATGAATTTGTTATTGTTGAAAACTTGAATGCCGTATTATAAGTTTTTAATAACGCAACTCTTACTTTCTCGCATGTTTACCAACCAACTACAAATAGGTTTTTTAAAGAGTGTGTTACAATCACAACATGTTTTCGTGAAAGTTTAGCTGATCTAGATTTGTATCCCTATGTCTCTCATTTGAAAGATAAATGATGTGCTTATTATTTATACATTCCTGATATTTATCAATTCGGAGGGGTTTATTTGAGAGTCTTGAAGCACTTTTTTTAGATTGATTGTTTTGGGTGTTCAATCCAAAAATCAAATGGATAAAGCTCAAATTTGACAAGACTAGGTATGTTTCCAAAATAAAAAAATCTGAGCTGGCCTCACCCCTGCTAGGGGTTCTGGGGTCGTTTCCCTACATGTGTAGAATTGGTGTTTGTGGTTCCTTTATATGTAAATAAAATATAAACTTTCCCATAAAATGCCAACCGGAGTAGCTTACTCCGTTTAAGCTTTAATATTTAATGAAACGGAGTAGCCAACTCCGTTCCAAATAATTATTTATGAATAATTATTTATGGAAACGGAGTAGCCAACTCCGTCTTTCTTTAAATCAATTTTTTTTCGTTCCTCAATTTTTCATCCCTCTTTCACACAGAAACAAATAATTATTTTCGTTCCTCAATTTTTATTTAAATCAATTTTTGTTAAAACAATTTTTTTTCTTTATTTCTCATTATTTAATAAATAAATAAAATTTTTTATTGACTTTAAATAAAGCACCATACACCGAAATTAAAATGAGAAGCAAATCACAACAAATTTATTTATCGAGTATTCATAAGAATAAGGTTACAAAATACATGCCATAACTAATTTATTTTGTAAAATTCATAAAACATAACCTTAGACATAATTGAAATCCATCATATAGGTATTGTTCATTGCGACGTCGCCATGGTCGGTAATCCTGTTAGACAAGGCATGCAACTCTAGAGGGGGGTGAATAGAGTTGTTGAGAATGTTTACCGATTTTCGCAGGATTAAATAAGATAAACGAAAGTGCAGCGGAAATAAAAGAGAGAAGGCAAATAACACACCGATGTATACTGGTTCACCACCTCGTGGCTAGTCCAGTTCCCCGAGAGACTCTCTCGAAGCTACCACTACTTCAGTTAAGCTTACGGGTGCTTAACAAACCGTTTACAACTCGAGAACTTGAATCCCACAAGCCTCGACACAACCGCTCGTAGATATGCCCTCTACAAGACTTCACACCCAAGACTTAAATCACATAAGCCTTGAACAACAAGAAGAACAATCTTCTTCAACCTCACAACAATGACTCTCACAAGAGTAGAAATGAGAAAAGATTAAGCTCTATGGATGACAAGAACACTCTCTTGAAAACTCTTAGTTTTCTCTCAAAATATATCAATTAGAGGAAGAAATGAATGGAGGATTATAACCTCAAGAATGGGGGATTTTAGGAGTGCTTGTGCATCGTAAAAAAGACCAAGGAGTGAAGTTTATAAAGGGGTTGAAGGAATATATCCGTTGGTCCAAGAAAAGAAGCTGTGCAGAAAAGATGCAGCAAAATAATCGATTAATGCATCACCATAATCGATTAGTGCATCACCATAATCGATTAATACAAGGGAAAAAATCGATTAATTTCGCCAGAGCAAAATCCTTCAAGGCAGAAAAGTAATAATCGATTAAAACCAAAGGTGGTAATCGATTAGTTCCTTCTGGACGCGATAATCGATTAATTCCAAAGGTAAAATCGATTATTGCAACAATAATGCCTAGACATGAAGGACACAAGCATGTGGGCGAGTTGGGAGGATAAAACGGAGCGTATACGTTTGTTTGAGACAACGGGAATCAGGGAAGCGCTCCTCCTCTCTTATTCAAGGAATTTGAATAAGGGAGTAAAAGTTAGTCCAAAAAATTTTGTGTGTCAAACGATGTACACAAAAAATATTTGAATAAATATTTTTGCTTACCAAAAATATTTTATAATATCAAAATAAATATTTGATAAATGTTTGGCACACCTTTTGTAACTGACTCAATAAAACTATTTGAACAGTTAAAAAGATTTT